GAGTGCCCAGTGCCCTTAACCACTGACCCTTGCTCCAGTTCTTAGCGTGCCCATGGGCCTTCTGCTTCTACCCTCCAGTGACGGGAAGACTGAAGGACTCTGGCCAGCCCAAGTGTGGCAAGCATGGCTCTAGCAGGCCTTGCCCTGCTCACCCATCCCTCTGCCTCGCTAAAGATCATTAGATTACATTCCTAAAGCTAGCCACAAAGGTCTAGTCCCTTATTTGGTCACTTCCTTTCTCTGAGGCTGACTACTAAGGTCCAGGTATTCAAGTATTGAAGTCCAGAAATAAGTATTAAAGCCCCCTTTAATTCACATAATTAACATCTCAAATCAAAATTAAACACCTCATGCTAACACAGGGTTTCCCATTTTCCCTTTATAAACCGTCATTTACCTCTGTGACACATTTTTCTCCTCTTTCCAGGGGCCGTTCTGTCCTTCTGGGACAAATAAATCTCCTTGTGCTGAGAACTTGGCCATGGGTGTCCTGGGTCACCCTTTCTTTCGAGGACAGGTGTGTGCCACCACAGCCCTTTTATGCTGAGTCGAGGACCCAAGGTTTACAGAGGCCAGAGAACAGCTTGCTGAGGTCACACAGGTCCCAGGGCCAAGCCCAGGCATGGTGTGAGTTCCCAGGGAGCCTCCTGGCTTGCTCTGGCTTTTGCAAGCTGTGATGTCCACTCATGTCCACTTTTGCAGGCACATGTCCAGGGCCGAAGAGGCCGTACGTGGCCATCTTTGGAACTCTGCCCTTTCTCTGGATGAGTTAATGTTTTCATGGATATTTTCCCCAAATGCCAGATGTTATAAAAGGGCAGTGATGGCATATTCCTTTAATCCCAGCACTCAGGAGGCAGAGGTAGGTGGATCTCTTTGTGAATTCGAGGCCAGCCTGGTCTACACAGCAAGTTCCAGGACAGCCAGACACTCTGTCTGGAAATAACAAAAAAAAAAAAAAAAGGAGGGAGGGAGGAGGAAGGAAGGAGACTTCCAGGACATCAGTGCACCTCAAGCCTCAAGGGAAGAAGGGCTTCATGCATCAGGTGTCTTTATCTCTTTCCACCTTTTAACATTTTTTGAGATTTATATTATGTGCACAAGTGTTTTGCTGCATGTCCGTGCACCATGAGCGTGCAGTGCGCACAGAGGCATGAGAGGATGTCAGAGTCACAGGTGTGAGTGGCATGTGGCCTGAACTGAACCTGGGTCCTCCTCAAGAGCAGCTCTTGACCACTGAGCCAGAACTCTCAGGGCCACTGAGCCCTAGGGACCTGCCTGCTATGCCTGCACCCTCATTTGTGTGTTGTGTCCCCTCCGGTGTGCGTAGCGCCCCCCCCATTGTGTTCTCTCCCTCCCCTCCACCACCTCCCCCTGTATCGTGTTCCCCCCTCCGCTCCATGTCCCCCCCCAGCCTTCTTTCTGGTTATAAAAACTGTTCTCTCCTGGGGCTGGGGCTCCAGCTCCCAGGAGCTCGGTGCCCTCAGGGGACAGCAGGGCTCTCACAAAGGACATCTCAGTGGGATGGGCTGCTCCCCACTGAGCTCTGCAGCACCACAGGCTGTGTGTGAAGCTGTCAAATGGCTGCCCCGTTATTAGGGGAGTCGGAGGAGTCGTTGGGGAGAGAAAACCCATTTCACCAGTTCCAGAGGAATGCTGGCATCTACCAGCCAGAGTCCTGTAGTCCAGCCTGATGAGATGAGACCTAACGTCTACCAAGCTGCCCTCACCAACTGAGCTACAATCACCTTGCCATCTGAGTTCTTACACACTACCAAGCCAGCTGAGCCTGGCCCAGCCTCCTCTTAGCCTCTCTTTTGAGCCAGGACGTTATGACTTGCCCAAACGCTAGCCATGAAGCTTCCCTGTGGCCCTGTGAGCCACGTCTTCCTACCCAATAGCCTTTAAGATACTAGTCCACTTTGGGCATGGTCTCATGTACTGTAAATGCAGACAAAAAGCGTGCGCGGGGTTCTTGGCTGCTGATTTGGTTCTAGTTCCCAGCGTCGCTGCTCTCTGTGTACACCCCAGACAGATAAACATTTGTTACACTCCATTCCAGGCTATTGTGGAGCTCTTTTTACACCAACAGGAAACAAAAGAATAGATGGCTCTTTACTGGAAGACCTGTGGCCCTTAAGGTTCTTCTTGTTCACAGTTCAGAATGTAGGTGGCCATCAAAGGGAGGTCTGACTGTCGAGAGAGTCACACAGCCCCAAACTGGCAGCTTTGAGGTTTGGGTTGGAGTCTATTCTCTGGGCTCAGGGCTTTTCCCCCATCCTGGTGAAATGGCTTCTTGAGGGAACACTCACAGCTCCACTGGTTCCTAGCTGTGACAGCCTCGCCTTCCATGACCTGAGCAAAGGGTCATGTGATGGGATTATAAAGGTTATATTGGGCCGGGCATCAGGTCCTCCAGCAGTCAGGAGGCTGAAGCAGAGGGAGCAACAGTTTGAGATGAGCCAAGGTTAGGCAGACCCCATTTCAAAACCCCCAGAAAAGGAAAAGACCCTGTTTTGGAACTTCACAGATGGTCTACACCTGAGCAGCCACGAGACAGAAAGATGGGACCCCGAAACTGGGGCTTAAGAGATGCACAGGAATTCGACATGAAGTTCGTCCAAGTCTATCTGAGTTCTTATTGCCTGACATTGACATGGTCGCTGAGAATTTGATATTGGTGTGTCTTAGTTGTGAATCCTGGGCTTGCAGCCACATTGAAGCCTCATCCTCTCCACTCCGCTGGAGGCAAAGGATCTGAGCCCCTGGGCTGGGCTCTGGGGATGTCCCAGATGACCCAGGACCACCCTGACTCCCGGGGTTATCACGGTGTGAGGACAGCAGGTCACCCTACCCTCTAGTGACCCCCATGACTCTGCTCAGGCACAAGGGGGCTGGTACTTCCCTGTGTTGACACAGGTGGGGCTAGCCCACGTGGGCAGCTCACCTCTGCCCCAGTGTGTGGCCTCTGGACCCAGCAACTGTTCCTGGGGAAGGAAGTCAGGGTCCTGGCCCGCTGAGGTCATAGCTGGTCAACCGCCCACAAATGGGCCACCCCGCTCCTTTGCTTGGACCAAGATCAGTGATGAGGTCATCAACTGAGAATTTGGGGAAAGGAAGCCAAGTAGGCACAATGCCACGTTCCAGAGTTTCGTGAACCGGAAATCTCTGTTTGGGGGGAGGGTGGTGGTGCCCATCATCAATGGGGTACCTACCCCATGGAGCCTTGCTGCTCTGGAGCCCTTGTAGAACATTCCATGAAAACAGTGGATGGTTGACTGATCCTGGTCTTAAAGAGGCAGATGCCTGTTCACGGGCAGGGTGTCACTCTGGTTTGGGAGCTGGGTGGCTCAGTCATCTCAGCACTCAGGAGACTGAGGCAGGAGGACTGTCCGTTTGGGGATCGCAGGGTGAGAGGGCGCTGGGGCAGGAGGAACTTTCCCCAGTCTGGCCTCTGACACAGGCTTCCCGAGACTTAGTCCCCAAAATGACCTGCCGGAGTGTCTTTATCTACACACAGCTGTGAGTTTGCGCACTTACTGAACGCCTACTGTGTACTCAGGTCACATGGGTGTCTAGACCTTTGCTACAGCTTGTGCCCCCACGGGATGAAGACGCTGTCACGCAACACAACGGGGCATGTGTGTCGGGAGGGCAGAAGCCTGGGCCCAGCACAACAATTTGCCAAGGAGATGCCTAGGTCCAGAGAGGTAACCTGGGCTACCTGGGATGCCTTCTCCGTCTGTGGGGTCAGGCTGGGTATAGAGGTGCCGCTTTAATGGCAGCCGTGCGAGCCTGTCCCCTCCCCGGTGCCAGCATGCAGGCCTGTCCCCACCTGCCACCAGCCTTGAAGAGCCAGAGCCGACTTTCAGGCTTCAGCTCCGACCAGACTTCCTCTATAATCGCGCGTGAGCCCCGCGACCCCTCCTCCCCACACAGCTATCCGTACCCCAGGGGACTCCGGACGGCCTCCAGCCCTCGGTTCCCCGTCCTCGAGAAAGACCTCTCCTTTTGGACCCCCGGCTTTACTCGGATGCGCAGTTGAGCAACTTGCCCAGGGTCATACGGAAAACACTGGATGGTGTCTCAATTTGTAGCGTTCACAACTCCCCAAGTCCTCCCTCGCACCTCAAAGATGGAGAACTCCGCAGCCTTTCACAGAAAGGGAAACAGAGGCTCTCCCGACGTGTGGTTTGGATCAGAGGACTGCGGTGTGATCCAGGCCTGCTTCTCCAGACATCAGCAACTCCTCCGGGGCAGAGAACCGGACTCTTGAGACTTAAATTTGGGGGGAAAAGTCAGAGAAAAAAATTAAGCCCAGAACCCCACTCGCCCCTGCCGGGTGCCCACCAGGCTGCCTCTTCCACGGAGTACAGTGACCTCAAAACTTCCACAGCTGCGAGCCTGGGGTCGGGGCAATCTTCCTCCGTATTGATCCTGAAGAGACGCCCATTTGGGTAAATCGCCCAGGAGCATACAGGTAACTCCTGGGGGAGGGGTCTGTAGGAGGAGGGGTTCAAGGGTCAGCCTGGCCTGCCGAGGGCAGAGGGAGCCCTGGGCGCCCCAGACCCCAGCAGGTCAGCCAGAGGCCCGAACCGCAGCCACCACCCTCTGCAGGCCTAGGCGACGTCACCCACCTCCATCTTTTGTCCAAGCCTGACCACCCTGCCCTGACCCTCCAACCCCCCAGGGGCCTGCAGCCTCCTGTCTGGACCGAATGAAGGAGGGGACCCACAGCAGCCTCCTTGCTTCTCTCCCAGCAAGAGGGGAGACCGATCCGGGAGCCAGAGCCAGGGACCTGAGCGCGACCATCCGGTCGGCCCGGAAAGGCAAAGCCAGCAAAGGCTTCCTGGAGCGGGGGCTGTTGGCACAGGGTTTTGAAGGGTTAGTAGGAGTGCGGAAAGGACACCGAGCAGGTGCAGTGGGCCTGCCTCAGTTTGTGCCTTGGCCCTTCTATCACAGCCGGTTGGTCATGGCTGGAGCGGGGGGGGGGGGGGGCAGGAAGAGTGGGAGAAAGGGGGAGGGAGAGGAAGGAAGAATCCACTTTAACTTGAGTCTGGCCCCCGTCACATGTTCTGTGGGGACGGTCAGCCCTCACTGTCACCAGACCCAGCGGTTTCCCTCTGAGCTGAGAGGGACCGTCCCTCCCTCCAGCCCTTGGGGTTCCCGTAGGATCAGCCTGGTCACTGGAGTTGGCACCGCACGCGGAGGCGGGGCGGCCAGAGTACAGGACTATAAAGACGGCGGCTGAAGGCTCAGCTCACAGCCACACAGAAGACACAACCCACAACCGACATGGCCCTGCCCGTGCCCGAGGCCCAGCATCCAGGCGGCTCGCAGCTGAGGTTCCTACTGTTCCTGCTACTGCTTCTGCTGCTGCTGTCATGGCCATCGCCCGGGGACGCCCTGGCACTGCCCGAACAGAGACGTTCCCACCCGGAGTCCCGACTCGACGCTCACGAGCTACGAGGTCGCTTCCAGGACCTGCTGAGCCGGTTGCATGCCAACCAGAGCCGCGAGGACTCGAACTCAGAACCCACCCCCGGCCCGACTGTCCGGACACTCACTCCAGAAGGTGAGTGGCATTTGGGGACCCGTCTGAGCAAACACTCCCCCAGCCTAACCCGCCTTCAAGCCCACGAGGCTCAGCCCAGCCTGTCCCCAGACCGGAGCGGGACAGGTGGCGTCCAGAGAGGCCAGAGCCGCTCCCGAAGGTGCACAGCGCTCGGGTCGGCGGGGGGGGGGGCGCGGCGGGTGTCCTGGGGGGCTGGAGCCATGGGGAGGAACCTGCAGGAACTGGATCAGGTACCTGACGCAATCGCTGGTCAAGACTTCGCTAGTCACAAGTCGCCTGGGTGGGAGGGAGGAGGACCCAGGGGTCTGGGGGCGGGGCCAGGCGGGTTGGGTCTCCGAGCCCGAGTCTCCCGGGACGGCTGTGGGGGCGCACACCTGTGTCCCCAACTACTCCAGGGGACAGCTGCGGCTACACAGTGAGAACCTGTCCCAAATTTAAAATTTTTCTTTTGGGATTTTTTTTTTTTTGACATAGAGACATTTGTAGCCTACGTGGATTTCAGACTCAGGGCAATCCTCCAGCCTCCGCCTCCCAAGTTCTGAGACAACAGGTGTCAGCCACCAAACACACACCTTTAATCCCAGCAGGGAGAGAGGCTGGCGGATCCCGAAGGCCAGCTTGGTCTACAGAGCGAGCTCCAGGACAGCCAGGGCTGTGTAGACTGTGGGCCGCACACGCTTGCCATCCGTGCACCTTACACCTTGCACACGGGTGACGTCCGTGCACCGTACACGCGTGATGGGCACACGCCTGACTCCCTGCGTCTTGTACGCGGGACGGGCACACGGGTGACGTCCGTGTACCGTACACGCGTGATGGGCACACGCCTGACGCCTAGCGTCTTGCACGCGGGACGGGCACACGCCTGACGGCTTTCCGTTTCTTCTCCAGTACGACTGGGGCCGCGCGGCCACCTGCTGCTCCGCGTCCGCCGGGCGTCGCTGACCCAGGGTCTCCACGAAGCTTACCGCGTGCACCGAGCGCTGCTCAAGCTGCCGCCGTCGTCGCGGGCGTGGGACATCACCGCACCCCTGCAGCGCGCGCTCAGCCTCGGGGGACCCCAC